TTTAAACAGTACAATTGTAAATTTTTGGTTAAATATTAATTTTAGCCTGTCAACTTTAAGTTTTACACTTTCTTTTTCTCTCAATCCTTTTTTGCACTTTTTTTATCCATCAACTCTAAAAACTATACAACTTTGACCCTTTCGTCAGTTTTCTATGATATGACCATTAAATAATTCCAAAATAGCATTTTTTTTATTTCTTTTGATGACATGGTAATATAATATATTATAGATTTGTTACATGAATACATAAAAATGCCCAATCACATAAACATTCATATTTTTAATAAAATGAAATAAAAAACAATAGAGTTATCTTAGTACCTAGTCTCCTTTTCTCAATCCATCTTCCTCCCCTTCTTCTTCCTAGTTGCTCTAGTTACAATTTAAACCAGCATAATTTGAGTTATGTTAAACCCAGTTGTTGAGTTTAACAAAACTCACTTGTTACGTTCCATCAAACCTAACATATTTCATCAAATTAAACTAACTTCTCATTCACTTGGTAATAAATAATCTCAATCAAACCCTAATCAAATTTCAATATAAATGCAATCAAATTCCAACAAATCAACTCCCAATTTTGAAAAAAAATCTATAAAGAATAGGTACAACAAGCAGATCAAGAACTAAAAATGGAAAGTCAAAGAAGAACTTACATCTGCTAGGTTTCGTTGAACCCACTTGCTTGCTTTCATCGAACCTGATCTATTGGGTTTAAGGAAACCCAACAGTTAGGTTCCAATAAACTTGAGCTGGGTTTCATTGAACATAGCTGTTGGGTTCACAGAAAGAAAAAGACTAAAGGGAAAAAGACGGATTGAGAGAGGGGGACATGGGTATTAAGGAAACTTTATTATTTTTTATTTTTCCTTAAAAATATAAATACTAATCTAATTTGGCATATAATTTGATATTTTTGTTTCTACACGTAATCAAATTATAAGATACATTATTGTCATGTTATAAAAAAATAAAAAGAAAATGTCACTGTAGAATTATTTAACTGTCATGTCATAGATAATTGGTAGGAAGATTAAAATTGTACAATTTTTAGAGTTGAGGATCAAAAAAGTGAAAAAAGTTAAAGGACTAAAAAAGTGCAAAATTATAAAGTTGAGGGATAAATTAGCATTTAATCTAAATTTTTTTGAAGGGAATTCTTTTCCCGAAAATTACGGGCTGTGTATCTGGACGGGCCGCGGGCCCGCAGAGCTGTAACAAAAACACGTCAAAGTATTCTACTGAGTGGGGCCCATTTTTTCTTTTTTTATATATCATATTTTGGACAGTAGTCCATCATATGTGTATGTATCATCCTCAGCAGCAATTGTCGTTCATCTTGTCTAAATTCTGGTCGATTTTGGAGATTCAAAAATTCGCAGCTCAGGTGGTTATGTTCAAAATTCTCTATTATTTTTGTAAATTGAACAATTATTGTCTGATAATTTGATCTGGGTACACGGAAATGTTGGATCTTTCCTCTAATCCTTCTTCTCTGACCCCATTTTGCTGCTCCTGAATTCAACCAGGGAAGGGATCGCCCCAATTCTAATGTATTGTATTGTGAAAACCCATTTTCCTAATGTTTTCAATTTAATGGGTTGATTTGACTGGCTTTTTTTTTTTTTTTACCTGTTTAATATGCCCTTT